TCTATATTTGGAAATCTGTTTGCTAGATCAAAGAAATTGGAGTAATCGAACGTATTAAATTTTTGTTAATTATTTTCCTAAACTTTTTGGCAAAATTACCCCCATTTTCTCCTCGACTTACCCATCTCAGCACGCGATGTACATTTAAATAAAGAATTTCAAAATTTTGTCCATTGAATGGAATTTAATAGAACTGATTACCACGCGTTCGACGATCAGCAATCTGATTAATTCCCAGACTCGAGGTCGAAAAAGACAGCGGAATTTGGTTCGATGATCGAAAAAGTAACGAAGAGACGACCATAGTTTATCAAATGCGAATATTTTTATTGACCTATGCTATAAAAAATTCGACACTATATCTCCTTCCAAGCGAATGCTCTTATTCTTCGAGATTCTTCTCCTTTCTCACCCTTCTTCCATATTTTTCCCATTTCTTTGTTGTCGGTTTTCATAAAATGCTTTCTCAATGGGGGTAAGAATAAAGATACTCGTGTAATTTTATTTTAATCGGAGGGTGCTCGATGAAGAGCAGGAATCGATTTAACGTGTGGTACAAAAATCTTGTCGTCTCTCTCACTCGTTCTCTCTCGCGCTCAGACACTCACCCTTTCTCACCCTTTCGTCCTCTCTCTCTCTCTCTCTTTCTCCCTTTCCTCTTCGCCCTCTCCATCTCGCTCACTAACTCTTTCTTTCTATCTATCACGAACAAATTCTTCCTTCTTTCTCATTTTTCCTCGTACGTGTTACAAATCAGTGCGTCGAACGTATAATCCAAAATCACGTCGTGTATACATATGTGTATGTACACGGAACAATCACAAGTTGCATAATCTGGGAATAAACGCGAGTAAATTCGTCTACCGCGGATAATAACATCGCCTCGCTCTCTCACTCGCAATTTTCTCCTCTCCTTTCCTCCGAACACCACCCTTCTTAACTTCACCCCGCGTTTCATCCTTTTCACAGCAATTGAAAGACGCAATTCGCGACGGGTGTTCCTCGAATTATCTTCTCGAGAGGTACTCGTCGTTCCACCCTCGATTTTCCGTGTAATAATCAATTATAATTTGCTCCGAGGTCAGCAGGTTCGATATTCCACGACTTATCGCTACGTCATTGCAGATCTGCATACCTCGCGAATTATTGCCAATTTCTCCACTCGTACTTTTAGTACAGAATTAAGAATACTACACTTTATAATATTAATATAATATTAATAATGATATCATAAAAGCTAGTATTCTTAATATTAATATTGCATTAATATTATATACTACCCTTGTAGTATTAATATAATATACTACCCTTTATAATATTAATATTAATATTCATATCAGAATACTACCCTTAACTAAATTAAATTATACAAATTCTATTAATTACAAATAGTATAATATTAATATTATAAAGGGTAGTATTCTTAATATTAATATTACGTTAATATTATATACTACCTTTGTAGTATTAATATAACACACTACCCTTTATATTATTAATATTAATATTAATATAAGAATACTATCCTTAACAAAATTAAATTATACAAATCGTATTAAATACCTCGATCGCGGAATTTAATTTCGCGAAACGAGCCATCCACCTTTCAACCCTTAACAACAGCAAATTACAAATTTGTTTCAACCACTCGTCCGACATATTTTTTTCTCTCATTTGTTTAAATACACACAGGAAATACTATCCACGTATAAATCAACTAATACCTTTCTCTCGAGAAGACAGACGACCATTTTTATTCTACAACCAACCCAATGGTCGATCGAGAAACACCCCCTGACGGAACCCCGTCGCACAGCCTTTTCTTCGCGACTAGATCTCGATCCTGGCACGAATCTACACCTCGAACAACGATCCCTCGAATGTCTCGATCCTCGTCTCTCACCCCGAATTACCCTCTCTCTCTCTCCCTCTCTCGGTCGGCCGCGGTAGAATTCAAAAGCGAGAGGCAGCTTCGATATAAAACGAATATACTTTATAATTAGCGCGTATGGAGTTATGCATATCGATGATTCGCTGTGAAACGTGTCTTTCCTCGCGCGCGCGCTTGTGTGTATACGTATATAGACGCGTGTGTCGATCCCACGATCAGCTGATTTCGATGGTCGTCTACGAAATTTTGCTCAAGAAACTCGAGAACGATGCGAGAATTCACGATCTATGGAAAAGACAGTCCGATCCTGTTCCTTGTCGAAGGACGAAGCGAGTTTAGGTATGCCTGGAGAAGACTGAAGTGGATAGTGCAGCGAAATAATCTTGGAAATTAGCGAATTAGGTGGACTTAAAGGGTTTGCAAATTTCCACTTAGACTGAGAATCTATGGAAATTTAGGTGGACTTTGCAGAATTCCACTTGGACTGAGAATCTATGGAAATTTAAGTGGACTTTTTGCAGAATTCCACTTAGACTGAGAATCTATGGGAATTTAGGTGGACTTTGCAGAATTCCACTTAGACTGAGAATCTATGGGAATTTAGGTGGGCTTTGCAGAATTCCATTAAGACTGAAAATCTATGGAAATTTCGGTATCGAGTTCTTCTCCGTGCGGTTTTCGTGATTGTTAGATTAAAATTAGAGTGTCGAGAGAAAATTTTCCGAATTTCACGCTTTATTCGGATAATTCGAAAATTGGTGTCTTCGAGTAGACTGAGAAATGGAGGAAATGGATTAAATACCGCTCGAAGTGTCTTTCCTATCTCCTTTTTGATCTTGGAAATCATCGGGTTTCGCGTCGGGTCAATGTTTTCCTAAACAGCTGTATTTGCTTCGAAAATTTGTCCCACGATTTCGCCATTTTGAAACAGACAAATTGCCCAATAATTATATCGCGAACGCTAAACTACATGGAGATCTATCCTCTTCGTCGTTCCATGCTATCGGAATTAGAAAATTCTTTCTCGTCGAATTAGTTCACTCGCGTTATCTCTAAAAAATCTTTGCAAAAATTCGATGCTCGAAAGGGTACGGAGTGAATCGTGGTTGACTTCTTCTGAATCGATGCAATGGACGTCTTTTGGTATCCGACACGATGTATCTCGATGAAAGAATGGTAATACAGCTCGTTCTCATCGCTGCTGGAGCGATGATCGAGAACAGCAGTGACGTTGTCAGATTGAAACGACTGGTAAAGAAAAATCGGATCTAAGAAACATAAGAGAATTTTACTGTTTTCTCTTCATTCTTGGACAGATACATTGATCAACGATTTGAAAATGAACAGGTTTTGTAGACACTTTCGACGTTTGACAGACTGGTTCCTTAGAAATAAAATTCTAATTATCGTTGTGCATTCATCGTTCAACACACTTGGATAAATTAAGCGTCGTTCATCGTCCATCATTCGAATGAAATCGTTTCGAAATCAAAAATTCCACTTCGTCATAGAACGGTAGAAACCTCGGGTGATCGTTGTTACGCGAAAACAATTTCCATTAACGTACGTGTACCGGTACAAATACTAATCGAAAAAGAAACGAATGAAACATATTGTTTTCCCCTTCTTTTCTTTTTTCTCTTTTTTTCTTGATTTTCTTTTTTTGTGATCACTGTTGTCCTCTTTCCGGACCATGTCGAACATCCGTTTTTTAAAGAACAATAAATCCGCATCGTTTCGCCATGTACCTAAGTGCGAAAATCCACGTGTGCTGCATGTACTACTGGTAGTAATAATCAAAGATAATCGCTATTTGTAATTAAAAAGCTGCTTCTCATTAGCGCTGCGCCGCTGCTCCTCTCGTTACAAAGTAACTACGAGTCATTTAATCGTTACATCGAATGTATCGGTATCATTTACAGCCTAAAATACTGAGCAAAGAACGAATAGATCTGTGATCGATGATCCTTGATGGAGCTCCCTTCGTTTTCCGCAATCGCGTTCTTTTTATCTCTTATTCTATCCATCGTTCGCATTTTACTTTCCCTTCGTCATTTCCCTTCGTCTATAACTCTAAATTTGGATCAGCCACGTTACCGATCCCTTGATCCAATCTTAATATTGCTTTGAAGTGACCTGATCGATGAGAATTCGATTTTCGCTGGAATTTTCACACGGGGCGATATGATTTCGACGACCTGTCTCGTTTCTAGATCGATATTTCGTTCTGCTAAATTATAACCGTGTGATCTATCCTTCGCTGTCGGCTCGTACCCGTCGAATCTCGGTCCCTAATGATCGCTGACGATTTAAAAACTATGTCCGATTATTGTCGACAATTTTATCAATCGCAACGAGAGCCTCGACACCTTCGTCGGCATTGGAACGTACTCGTGTTCGTTCAACGTGGTGAACGACTTCGGAGATGATCGAGGATCATCGATCGTCGCTTTTCACCCTTATCGCCGCGTGATAAATCGCCGGTGGGGTGAAAAAAGTAAACTCGGGAGGTCGAGAACGAAAAGAGAGGAAGAGAAACCAACGTACGCTTAGGAGCATTAATTAATTCGAGATATCTTGTAAAAAATTTTACAACGTGTATACGCATACACACGGCCCGGTGTGTACACGTACACACGCACGTGTATGTATAACATGTATATATTTATATACCGTCATTGCGCAGGCAATTGTTACTTCATTATATTTTCTTCTCGTTTTCGTCATTTTCATTTTTTTGTCGTTTTGCCATTTTTTTGCTTTTTTTCTCTTTATGCCGTCGGTAATTTATTATTTCTCCACCTCCTCCCCGTCGCGCTTGCGTTTCTTCCCTACCTTATGGCAATAATAATATAATAATATAATATAATATAATAATAATAACAATAATAATAATAATCGTAATAATGATCATAATAATAATAAGAATATTAGTAATTATCTAAATTCTCGCCGTAATAATTTTCCATTTTCTCGCATGCCTCGTATTTTCTCGTTAATTGTTTCATTTATTTATTCATTATTAATTATTATTTTTTTTCCATTTTTTTCGTTTTTTTTGTTTTTTTTTTTTTTTTTTTTTTTTTTTTTCTTTTTTATTTTTTTTTTTTTTTCCTTTTTTTTGTTTTTTTTTTTTTTTTTGGTTGTCTGTATAAAGGACATTGCAGTTTTACTCGTAGGTGGCACTCAGAATTGCATTTTTTGTTTTTTTTTTTATTATTCTCGCATATCTAATTGTTCGTCTTGGGTCCGTCGACCTATTATTTTCTTTATTCTTTTTTTTGTTTTCTCCTTTTTTAATTCGCTCCCGACAATGCCCTTGCTTTATTTAACTTAACACGTATGATATCTCCCGAAGATCGCAAACGTTTTTGTTCTCCCGTTTAATGCAATTGTTATCGTACGTTCCGATGAACCACCGATCTCCTTGCTTCCTTTACCTAATTTCCTCCTCTCTCTTTTTGTATCTTATTTTTTAAACGTCGCTTATAAGCAATAAAAAAAGAAGGTGCTCTCAGTCGATATTACCTTAAATTTCAAACTTAGCTACGTGTTTACCGTGACGCGAAGGACTCCGAAATTCGTGAAACACTCCACGAGCTGCATCGTAATATATTTAACTCTTTAACCTCCGCCTATATAATTTCTCTTATTATTCTTCTTTCCCCCCCTCTCCATTTCAACCCTTTAACTCTATGAACATCGATCTTCTGCCGTTATCTTGTACTTTCATTTTATTTTTATCGATAATTCCCCTCGTCCCGCTATTCGCCGCGTAATTATCCCTCCTTCTCCTTCTTCCACGATATCGAGTAACGAAAGAAAGCTTCTCCACGTGCAAAAGAAAAAGCATCGCCTCCGGAGGGGAATATACAGATACGTGTATATCCGTGTGTGTATGTATATGCGCATGTGTATATCGGTAATTCGACTAAAAAATTGCTCGAAGGAAATAGCGTCAATACGGTTAGAAACCTCGAAGGCAAGTTCACGTTCCTGCGGTCGGATTAATTGTGTCGATGCCACGGAATAATGTGTCCATGTAACATGTCGTGTCTCGTGTGTCTGTGTATGCCTGTGTGTGTATAAACTTTCTGAAACGCCGCTCGTGCTTCCTGTTCTCACTCTTCTCTCTCGTCCTTTCGCTCTTTCAATTTAAACCCCTTACATCGGTATTGCTGCACACGCCTGCCGATCGATTTCCTCTTAGCGATTCTACGCGCGAGTTTAGCAAACGAACTCGTACCAGTCGGCCGAGCAACTCGAGCAAAAATATGCAGACTGCTTTTCAACGGTTAAACGATCGAATATAAATAAACACAGGAATAACAAACAGAGAGTGCTTTCATTAAAGTACTGAAGCTACTAATCCTCCGTAACGATAGCCCACGATTAGTAACGCAGTGTATAACAAAAAGCGGGAATAGAACCAAAATCCTTCAAATCGACCAAGGTTCTACTTAAAATATTAAACGCTCGGATTTAATACAAGTAGAAAAATACGTGATCGAAGAACCAAGGCTTAATTTTACTCGCAAACCGATGGTATTATTCCGAGCCCTAGATACGTGTTCAAATTCGAAGAACACCCCACGGAACGAAAAGCAACCCCCGCGAACGAATCGGTAGCAAGAGTGATCTCTAACTCGATCAGAAAATCGATCAGCTGACGCTTATTCTATCCTGGCGCCACACTCGCTAGATCCTCCAAAAGGGAACGGAAGGAGTCCACAGCCATCCGAATGATCATTAGAATCGCGTCATCGATTCCCCGACGACGCGTCGCGTTTCAGTCGCAAGCGAGCTGCAGTTGCTTCAAAAGGAAGGGGAGCCTTGGTCTTAATTCCCATGGTCCTGATCGAGCTCGTCCAACGACTCCAGTCTCGCGATCGGCGCCTCGTTTATCGTAAATTCCCAGGAAATGTCTTCGCTGGTTTGCCTCGAGGACTCTTGTCGCTGTCCCGTCCCTTGGCCCGCGCCTTCGTCCCTCTGTTGCCTGCTCTCTGAACGTTGGCTGGCTGCCAGATCGCTGGAACCCCGGTGATTCGTTGGTTCCTTCCTGGATTCGCTGCTTCGTGGACGCTGGGTGCCTCCTCGATCCGACACGGACACCACGCAGCTCCAGGGATCATCCCCGTCCGGTTCTGAACGTTTGTTGAACGAACTGTACCTGTCAAATTGATCCACAGATTAGAACAAAACGATAAAGCGACATTTGAAGTTTGAGGGATTTGATTTTACTTCGTCATCGACCCATATAGTCGATTTAGATGTTTCACCTTGAAATTAGAGAATTTCTAAGACAATGAAGAAAAGTCGTGTATGTACAGTAGGAATGCTAGGGTTTGAGAGTGAATGCAAAGGAATACTTGGACCTGCCTAGCTGATGACTGGCAATAAGCTGCAGTCTAGAGTTCAGGGTGACGTCTGGAGTGACTGTATCGAATGCAAGTGAAGAACGAAAGGAGTCTGAATGTTTAGGGTAGTAATTGAGAAAGGAAGCACGAGTACGAAAGAAGACAGAGTGCAAGGTTTAAATGAGGGTGCAAGAGCTGTCCTAAGACAGTCCTTTACGGAGTTTGAAAAAGAGTCGATGTACGAATGTTAGTTGCACGATCATAGTTCAGTTATTAGTCTAGTCCTCTAGTTATACTTTACTCCTAAGTCTCTTTTAGCTCGTGATATACATTGGAATTAAACAACATCTCTTATTCCTTATATTCGTCAATCAAAGGTATCCCTACATGCACGAAGGAACCTTCTTCTACCCGCGCAGATTAATTATCCAAACGTTATTCAAGATAAGAAGCGTATGTCCGTAATACAGTCTCGTGTTTTGAGTCCATTCCACGTCAACCTTGACACCCAGCTAAATTTGAATGCACTCGTGCTCCCGTACGAATACGGGGAGCAGATAATAAAGGGTGTGCAGCGGAATAATCAAATGCAAGTGAAGTAGTTATCGATCACCCAGCCAGTGTGCCAATTATCTCGAGTACCTAACATCTAGACCAGAAAAGGTTAGAAGTAGCCCTCGATGAAGCAGCTTGCCTAACCGAGGGAAAAGCTTGCACGTACCCACTCCTGAACTCTCCTCTTCTGAATGCAGCAGGTTGACTGTGCCACGCGTGTGGCGGGTGTGCCTGTTGTGTGGCGGGTGGCACGGCCAGGTCGACCGGCTGACTTTGTGACCTGGTGGGTGCGGTTCTGCCGTTCAACGCTGTCTGCAAGGCCGTGGCCAGGGCGGACGTGTCCGACGTGACGGTCAATCGCGACGTTCCCGAGGACGTTGACGTTGGCTCCTTCGTCGGAGGTCTGCTGCAGATGGAAATCAGGGAGGAAATTAATCGTTTCGACTGGGCCCGATCAGCGGCCGCTGGCGTCCGCTATGAGCAGCAGCGAAATATACTTGAAGCACGTGATTATGTACAAGGGGATTCGGTTAGGCCTCTAATTCCTCTAAGTGTCCCGAACAGTGTCGCAAGTCTGTCTGATTGGGACTCCTGTGTAAACCGCGTTAAATCTGACATCGACATTATGGTTTACATCTACGGAACGTGTTCTGTTCGATCGACTCGATGTTGTAGTTCCTTGTTACGCTAGTGTTCAAAAGGAGCACGAGCCTTGAATCGAGTGCTAAGAGGTATACGGTAGAATCTCGATAGTTCTGCGAAAGTGAGTGATTGAGATTCCGATTCTTCGTTTCCCGGTTGGTGAACAGACCTCGCGACGAGTGGCTCGAGGATATTGATTCGTGGTTCGTGCACAGAAACGGGCACTGAATTTATTCCTCGGGATTGACATTTGACATTTCCAGCGGATATAGTATCGCAATTTAGACGCGAGAATATTTTTCAATCCTCGCTGTTTAATTACACCGTGACATGGAACGATATAATTCTCTGATTAAAGCATTCTAGCAAGTTTCGTTTCAATATCCTTCGTCCACATCTAACGTTGTTCGACATAATCGAGATCGTGAGACTATCGAGACTGTACTGCACTTTTCTAAACGAAACTAGCAAAACATACGAATGCTTGTGCACTAATGGAAACTTATGTCCTACGTAGTGGCGATTCATACTCGCGAGAATCAGCTACAAATTGAATCTCTTACCTCTGTCCATCATGATGGGATATTTTAAGTTGCTATGAAGGGAAGTTCTGTTAAGGTATGCAAAGGGTGACAGTGTTACGAATTACGATCGAGATGTACTCGCTGTAAACGATTATTCGATATCAACGATCACCATCTCGTTCGATCAGGAAACATTAAATGGTACTATGTTCAAGTGACTGATACTCCATTTGCGAATTTTCTATCGTACGGGAAAAACTAAATTTTTCTAGCACGATGTTCTTGGAAGTTTTCCTTCAAACTATTCGATAATGGCGTGACTGATGCTGCGTCGTCGAGGATCGAGAAAAATGGCATGATTCCCCCGCATGTTCACCCTCAAGCTTCGAAAACGTGCTACGTCGCAGAACAAATAAAATCATCTACGCACGCGTCGTGTGACAAATGCTCGATCGATATTCTAAGTAAGGGAACAGAAGGAAAAGAAAAGATCGGATCAGCAATTTACTTAAATAAGGAGATCGATCACAATGTAAACTAACGAATGATCTAGCACTAGTAAACAAACAAAAGAAAACCATTCTAAGAAGTATCTCAAAATGATTCTTGAGTAAATGTCGATGTCAATTGTTACTTCTAATTGGTACGAGATTAAGAAAAAAAAAAAAATAAATAAAATTACAAGGTCGAAGATCGAGATAAGGAAGAAGAGAAAGAGAAAGTGAGACTGTTCAAACTGGCAACGTACTTGCAAAGGATTAACTAGCAATAATTCGAGAACGCAAGAAACCAGCAGCGTTACTTTCTTTTATTTTCTTTTTTTCATTTCTTTATGTATAACACTCCTGCCTCGTTTCTACTTGCGCGACACTGCTCGCAAAAAAAGGGTTTCAAAGAAGAGTATGAGAGAGTATGGTCACCTTCGGAACTTGTCCAACCTTTCCAAAATAAAAGACGCCGAAATCAAATGCAACTGATCCAGGGATTTCGAAAGAAAGCTTTCCAAGAATAAAAACATCGATTACTTCCTAGGAAAAAAAGAATCAGTTTCTACTTGAAAAAAAGAGAGTAATGATTTAAAGAGCACGTTTCATCTACGTTTCCCGAAATCGGTCACGCGACTTCAAACGTCTCCGACCGTTGAATAGAAAGAAATAGAAAGAGGAAGAAACACACATATATATAGAGACAGAGAGAAAGAGAAAATGAGACACATAGAAAGAGAAAGATAGAGAGAGAAAGAAAAGACAGAAAGAAAAGACACGTGGTTACATCTGCTATGACAAACAGACTAACATCACAGTAATGTGTGGAAAACGTGGTATCTCTGTCGAAAATTTTGAAATGAAAAGAAATTACGTAGATAGAGTACTCTCGTGCTGTACCTCGGTAAACAAACGATTATAAAGATCCAAATAATTTCCAATTATAAATAGCCATGAAATACTCTCGCAAGATCAAAGAAAATATTTCTCGTATTCGAAAATTAACACTCGTCCGATCCTAAGAAGTTAGACAATAGCTCCCATTGTATTTTCATCGGAATTCCCTTTTTGATCCGACACCAAACGTTTTGACACGTTACTGCGTCCACGAGGAAATTTCAAGTTCACCGTGAATCGCAAATACTCACCTGAACAAACCGTGAGACGTGCTAGGCTGTATCTTTCCATTCCCGTTGCTGGATGGCGGACCCGTCGGTGGTTGTGGTTCACTGGCCGACCGTTGCACCAATGCCGGAGCTCTACTACTTTGTTTGGACAGTCCGGCCGAGGTTGTGCCGGGCATCATCTCGATGCTGGAGCTCTCCCTCGACGAATTGAGCGTCTGTTGCAGCAGAGTCAGGATCAACCTAAAATTCTCCCCCATGGAGTGTTCCAAAGAGGCCATTTGCCGCGATAGCTGGTCTATTCTCGCGTTTATCTCTTCTACTGATCGGCCTGGTCCGCTTTGAAAGTCACCTAGGGAATTCAGAGCAATCTGATGAATAATCTGCTCGACCTTCGTTTCGCACATTCTGTCCGGTAGTTTGAGATGGTTCTCCATTTCAGTTAAATATCTTTTTACACAGGAATACTTCTAATACTTACTTCTCGCGAGATTTAGTACGTATAAGATAGTTTAGCTGTGGACCATCTCAAACGACAACGATTTTTAAGGGGTTTGTCACAACGAAGAGGGGACACAAATCGTTCACGAACAGAGGTGAGAGAACATTCGATCCCGTATCGAACACAGACCACCCACGGAAGCGTGATACACAGATACGCGGTTGCACCCACCGTGAGACTGCGGATGCTGCGGTGGAGACGGTGTGGTGTAGTGACTGGATGTCGTCGACGTGGGATGCACGACATTCTGGCTGAGGCAGCTTTCACCGGCAGCTGAGCTTCTCCGTGCTGGTTTCGTCAACGGTGTGATCACTGGATAAACCCAGGCACAGAATCAGTACCACGATCCGGAAGTAGCACGAGCCTTCCTACCCTCTAAAAGTGCCTCTTATCTCCGAGTAAAAAAGGGGAACCAGGAAAAAAGAAAGAATGATCGAGAGTGAGAAAGAGAGATAGATAGATAGAGAGAGAGAGAGAGAGAGAGAGAGAGAGAGAGAGCGAGAAGAAAGAGGACGAAACTCTTGTAAAAGACGTTTCCAGGGACATTGTGCGGTTTCTTGAGCACGGGTACTCGCCGGTTGATTATGCGAGACATCGCTAAACGAGAGTGTCCGTCGATTTAGAAAACTTGGCCAGTCTACTCTGCCAAATGGATACTTACTCTGCTTGGCAAGGTAATCGTGACTCGTCAGTGGTTGAAGATGGATCTTGTGCTGACGTAGGTCCGGTATGCTGCGCTTGAGATGGGTTAGCATGCCTGAACAACCAGGTTTCAAGGTGTTAACGAACTCGGGAGACAAATGCAAACGCAAAGCTTAAAACGCTGCACGCTTAACCCAAACGCCTCCAATACCCTTAATTCCGAATCCACGAGTCGATGAAACGAGCTTGATCCCATAGACCTAACACGGTCTTCGAAGCAAAGATATTTGAAATGACTCGAAATTCTTTGCAAGCTGCAAACACTGACATCTAATCGCGATAACTGTGGAATACGTTATCAAGCTCATCTCTTATTCGAGTGATAATTCTTAACATCCTATTATTTATCAAATATTTCGTTTACAATTACCGATTACGAGAATATTGATTCTAACTGAGAAGAAGAAAAGAAAAATAAAATTTCGGTGATCTTGAAATCTTAAGAACTAGGACGCACAAAATTTGAGCAGATACTTCGAGGATTTTTATTTAGACCTAATTTGATAAGATTGATATGTACAAATGGTATTTACAGAATTGCTGCGTATTTATATACAAACTACAATGACTGTGACTTCAAAGACTTCAAGATCATATTGGAGATGCATGTGTATGTAATTCGTTTATTAAGGCGATTGGGCTAAGGGGATGTTTTAGCGGACAGAAAATAAGGAAATAGAGAAAGGAGGAAATATGTCGACCGAGAAAATTACGTGAAAAATGATCTACGCTACGGAGACGAGATTTTATTAAAATAAATGTCTATGGAGGAATGAAGATCTTTATGAGACACGAGCAAGTAGTAATTGAATCAAAATGAGTTTGACTGAAGTTGTAGACTTGCGATTGTGAAGTGGAAAGGGGGACAGATTTATAGATTTACAAAGATTCCCTATTTTCTCGTCAGGAAGATTATACTAATTATAGAATTATCATCTGTCAAGTTAATACTTTAGATTCAATACCTTATATGTAATTTAATATTTGCAAGAGTATTTTAGAACTTACATCTCAACACGATTGTTCCATAAAACTACAGATAAAGGGAAAAAATTACCAAGAAAGAATATTCGAAGGAAGCTAAAAGCTCTTTTGCATGATGTGCTTTTTTCCTTTTTATTATTATTTTTTTTTACTAAAGCTGATCGTCACAATTAAAGCAAATAAAAATAACTACGCAACTTTCAACCAAGTGTTAATCATAGAAGAATGATTCTCGTCCCACCGCTTCCACTCCAGCACTACTGCATAATTAGAGCAAACTGCAATTACTGCACTCTGTGATGCAAGATTCGAAATTACCTTTTTCGTAATATTGTTGTTAACGGGTCCGGAAAAACGGTTCTCTTCAAAGATTCTAAGCGGTCCAAACTCGCGTAACGAGTCGATTAAAGTACAAGAGAAATAAAGGGATAAGGGGAAAGCTGAGCTTTTTGTATATACAATGTTCCGAGATGTCTCTGGGCCTCTCGAGGTACAAATATCTCTTAATGATAAGCGTCGATGTGCGGGTATCTGCGAAGCAATGATTCAAAGGTACCTTCCTGAATCATAAGGATCTTCCACATCCATGTATAGCAAACGTTCGAAACCGAGAATCGTAAATATGTCCTTACTCGAATATTAAGAACTCTATGTGTCGTGCAGAGAACAACATTCCTCAGACAGTACGTAGAGGCAAACAAGAGAGAGATATATAGAGATAGAGAGAGAGAGAATCGATAAGAAACGAAGGTATTACTCCGGAGAGAAATAAATGGAGTAAGAAATAATCGATCGACCGAGTACACGATTTCTCTCACCGGTTATGGAGTTCAGAGTGGAGCTTCGCTGCTTCGGCTCGTCGAACTCTAGGTTCAATGGTGTCACGTCCTGGCCGGCCTTGTCGGTGCTGAACTCCAGAATTCCATGACCACTTCCTTTGTCGCTGTCGAGGAATACACGTATAAGCGAGGAGAAAGTCGTTTTCATTTTTAGCTTTTCAATCGGAGAACTTACTATTCTTCCTGATCACCCTGTAAGGAGTCTTGTCGACAAGTGGGGATAAGATTGGTGCCAGGACCTCCGGGTCCTCGACGGTATCTTGGTGGACGGAAAGCGAATCTCCTAGCGTCGACATCGACGTCCGTTGGAGTACTAACAGGATACCTTGCTGATATTGGATCGACACCAGCCTGTTCCTCCTGTAATTAATAACGGAATCTCGTTAGAGAAAAGTTTGAGAATAGATTCGCAGTGCACGTAACGAAATTCATCGTTCGTTTTCATAAAAAGAATAGAGTCAGAAAAGCTGCGAGGATTGCGTAAAAAATATACTTGGCGTATAAAGCGAGACGTGTCCTTGGAAACCCATTTTGCTTCACATCGATATCTTAATTCGTTCCGGAGACACAGGGCTTAAAAGTGCAGCTTGCAACTTAATGGAAGTCGCATTTCCAGGAAATGGAATGACCCACATTTTTATCCCACAATTGCATACGCCGAACTAGTAGTGGGTAAAATGCTGACTCAGTGTCCACACTTGACCATTGCGCACGTGTGCAAGCGTGAGGTAGGTCAGCGAAGACGATTGTGCGACAAGGATAGATATATGAACATATGAAAAATTTATTTAAACGATGCTGTGTCTGAAACTAAAAAAGATATCGAGGTGAAACGAAAAGCTTCTCGAAGGAATGACTTTCTCATTTCTGATAAATCTGTAAACTTTGCTCAAAAACTCCTGACAAATTTAATAGAAAATAAATATACTTTCCTGGTATTTTATTCGTGCCAGTAAGATTACGATGCTTCTAATAACCCTGTTACGTATTTATTAGTAACGCAAGTGTCGAAAAATATATTAAAATTGATGCATTTTCATAGTTTCCATATCTCAAAGTCGATGGGAATACCTCGGTCCCGGTTACACTCATTAATCGAGGTTTCATCGCATTTGGAATAGCAAAATATTTAATCGACTAGATAGTAAGCATCGTTAATGATTCAATATACAATTTCTTCCATGGGAAATAATATTCTTTTTTGAAATTTATCTGTTTAATCTGCGAATGATTTCAGTTTTCAATGGAAATTAATAGAGAAAGATACGTGAACGATACGTACGTCTCTCAAATTAAAGGTGATCTCGAGATTCTGGCTAAAGTGATTCGCGAACTCTGGATAAAGAGCCAGAACGTCGAGTAAATCGTTCCTGTGTATCTTGTGCAGATCGCAATACGTCAACACACGCACGTTGCTAGACGCTTTGCCGACGGTCGGATATATGCAAGGATTCTCCCCGAATATGTCGTCCTTGGCCAGGATGGCCATCACGACGTCGCCTTTCAGTATCTCTATGCTTCCACGCGATATGAAGTAAACGGACGTTAACACGTCTCCTCGATGAACTAACGTATCACCGGGCGGTGCGTGTGTGGTTTTAAACTTTAACGATAACGCCCTGAGGAAAAGAAATCAATCGATTAATCCTTCGCACGCGTGGTTAAAACACGTGGTTAAAAATTCCGAAGGAATCGACGAGAATGATCGACGTGTCTCAACGATCGATCGAATCGGTCGTAATCGATACCTTAAACAACCGGGACTGGCACCCTCGAAGGCTCTACAGTTGTTTAAAAGATTTCTGTTCAGATGAAGACAAATGTCCGCTTGAAGGCACTCGGGGAATCCTTTTAGAACGCTGTTCATGTCGATTCCATTCGTGTACGTCCAAGCATGTTGAAGGTACTCTTCCAACCGTTGACGAAGCGGATTAGGTATCTGATGGAACCTGATGAACTCTCGAACTCGACGCATCTGCATGTGATATCTTGCCGTAGCGCTGTAAAGTCGCTGAATGATCGCCGAGACATTACCGAAGATAGTGGCATACATCAAAGCTGAAATAAAAGTTTCGTAATTAGCGTTACGTTGTCCTCCGTTTCACGTAATCTGACGAATAACGAGACAAATCACCGCGGAAAACCAGCATCGATTACCCGAGACTTAGAGCGACTAATGTGAAGCAATTACGTCATTACAGTCGATACTTACATCCGATTAGCATAACGAGTATAGTAAATATCTTCTCGGCGTCCGTATTTGGAGCCACGTTCCCAAAGCCCACCGATGTTAAACTGCTAAAGGTGAAATACAGTGACGTGATATAGCGGCTCTGTAAGCGGACAAGAGGCAGAGCGTTAGTTCAACCGACTGACCCAAAGTCCTTCCGGTCGTTTAACACGTTAAGTGCCACGCCAGTCGTCAGAGACCGGCCCAGACTAGGACCAAAAGGTGCTACCTTTTGGCGTTACTTAAATTCTTCTCCATCTTTGGACCTTGGGAATTCCTGTTATAACAATTGCTACAGTATCTCCGAGTTTTATGAACACTTATTCGTCGCAACTACCTTTTGGCGTTACTTAAATTCTTCGCCATCTTTGAACCTAACGTTTGGGAATTCCTGTTATAACAATTGCTACAGTATCTCCGAGTTTTATGAACACTTATTCGTCGCTGTGGACCCATGATAGCCGAGTCTGGGCCTGAAGGGGACAGCAAGCAAAACAGCTTGGGCACTTAACGTGACATTCGGTTGCCCACGAAACAACATGTAAGTTAGAGTCCAACTAGGTTACTCACCTTCATACTCGGCCCCCCGGTGTTGTTGGGAAGGTAAAACTGATGCGTGTCATTGGCCAGGATATCGAGCCAGCCAATTTTGCTCTTCAGCGTCGGTCTCTCCGCGTTCCCAATGGCGTACCTGGAATAAGACAGTTGCATCTGTCGCGACCTTAAGTTCAAGAACGAATAAGTTCCAGAAGCTGTGAAAATTCCGCGCAATGGAGGATTCTCCGATATCTTGGAAACTTACCATATGCACGCCATCCAGTGAGCGAAAAGACTGAAGCTGAACATCAAAAGGAGTAAAGCCGCGGCGCCATACTCGCTGTACATGTCGATCTTCCTGGCTACTCTGACAAGCCGTAGGAGACGAGCCGCCTTCAATAGTCCTATCAAGGTGGTCGTCTGCAAAGAACACGTCACACTTTGTCGATCTTACGCTCGGCCGTACGACATTCTTGATTCTTTACTCGAGCTTTTTCGTCGAAGCTAAAGTGAACTGACTTTGGCCTTGAATCGAGCATCAATGGCAATATCCTGTCATTTGGATATTTTCAACTGGGACTTGGCCAGAATTGTCCCGTGTTCCTACAAACTTGATTACATCCGATTCGAAAAATTGCAATTTTTTACACCCCTTCGAGATATCTTTTTCAAGTATCGCGATTACTTTTGCAGGTCAATCGTTATCTCCAGGAATAACGAAATTACGTTAATAGTCGTGTTCTCGTGTCAGATGCGTTATCTCTGACGAGTAAGGCTAGCCGATAAAATATGCAGTATCAGTTAGAAACGTTATAAATAATTAATCCGTCCTCGATACACCGGCATCAAACGGCTAAGTATTCCACGTGAGCAGTTATCTTCTTTTATCGAATCGTCGATCCTCGTTGCAACGCCAAAGTCAGTTTGACAGTCTGAGTTATTGCTGTAATCGTAGGTCTTACGAGGAATCTCTAGTACGTCGACTGTCGTTCTCGAGTTCGATCGATCGAGACGTCGCCGGTCACTTTTAGGTCAGCCAGAAGCTTCGCAACACCTAATATTCCCTTTGATATTTTAAGAAAATGTCAAGCCGTCATGAACGAAGTAGAAAAAAAGGAAAGGTAGAAAAGAAGCGTGGAAAGGTTATTCGCATCGATTGCTTTGCGACTTTCCGTTCAGCCAGACAAATTGAAACAAATCGAGAATGGCAATCGCGAGAACTTTGGCTGACTGCTGCCAACAGGCATCCTGTCTCTTTAATTCCATCCTCGAGGAATCTTCAGTGAAAAGAATTACCTTCTAGGAAAAATTCCTATGTTTTTTGATCTTGTCACCGAATTATCTGATTTCAATCGGTTAAATGCCACATCGGTCCCTAAGGACTTTCCGTTCAGGCCTAGCTGGTCCGTACGGCCCGGAAGGGCCCACGTGACAGCTAACCGTGGCGTGAACGGGATGGCACGTTAAACCGGCGTGGCATTTAACGCGTTAACCATAATTGCTCGCGATACGTAGGAAAAAAGAAACGAAAATAAACGAAACGAAAGAGAAAAGGACAGGTGCTGACTAGGATCGAATCGTGTAACAAGCGATTGGAAGAAGACAAGTCTTACAAGGGTTTCGTTACTCGCGACGTTCGTACGAGTGTCACGTGTGAATCGTAAGCTCGGATTACACGCCATCGTATGGGCGTGCCAAGTCATCTCGATCGATCGAGATCTTTAGTCAGGAATCGTTGATCTCTCGCATTGCTCGATCAAGATTCGACTGACAGTCGGTCGTCTTAAGGATCGTTGCAAGTAAGATTATGCATTCACAACCGTATACCGTTGCAAACATTCTGCTCAATACAGTCTCGTGAATACTCATGCTTTCTCGCCGATAAGTAACATCTTACCTGCCGTGGGTTCGAGAATCGATTAGCGCCGTTCGATCGAAACGACGCCTCGTAACGACTCTATCATGCAAAAGTCGACTACGCTCCAACGAAAACTGAACCATTCGACTAATAAGTATTGCTACCGATAATCTCGAACTTGATACTTGGTGCACGGGTTGCTTGGCGATAGTTACACTGTTTTACCACACCGATAACGATCAACGATTCGCGTTCTAACGCTTGCCTCTCTAATTCCTCGTTTATCATCTTTCCGTCTTCGTGACGACGCGAGAAATCCTCATACCCGTGCTGCACTAGCAATACAGCAGGTCGAACGGAAATAGAACTGTCGAGGACAACGCGATATTTTTTAAGACGTTATTATCTGCGGGTTTTGCTTGGATGGTCACGGTGCTTTGAAGATTCGGCAAGGATTTATGGTCTGGAACGAACGCGAGATATCGGCCAGCGATCGACCCCAGGCCAGGGATGAGAAACTCGGCCGTCTTTTATCCGTCCTCGGGATTACCAAGAATATCCGAGGACGTTTGATAGCAGCCAGTGATAATGCTGCAAATGTTATTACGATGTACACGCGAACCGGTGCATCGGAGGAGGATCGGTGGAAACTTGGAATACACCGTGTCCCGTTCTATTGTCTAAAGCTGATGGTATCTTTCTGCCGAAACGGTTTCAACCTCGTGGATGCTTCGCCGGTTTGCAGATACGCTATCTGCGAATAATTGGTACCTTGGATCGTCAGGATACGTCGGGCAATTCGTGGACGTTTGATGCTACGTTCGCGGTATTTAAAGGACGGTCAGATAATGCCTCGGATAGCGAGTGAGATATAGCCTGTTCGATATCTTTGATGGCTAGAACACGCGGATGTACCGAGACGTTTTGCATCTCGGGTATTCGACTACTCGAGGGTTCGGTGCTCGATCGATTTCTTAATTCTGGGAGAGAGCTCTCGAATCTTCGGGAATTTTAATACACGGTTTTATTTCGAACGGAAATTAGCAAAGCTGTCGAACGTATGGTGATCATCCAAGGGGTAGCGAGTAGAAAGAAGTAAAGGGTTTCTGCGCTCTTCTGCGTAAATATCCCCTAGCAACCCGTTACTCGTACACAAGACACATTATACGTACATAAGTGGAAAGAAGACGAAGCGTTCAAGCGACAGAAAACACACATGATCATTTATCGTGTAGAAAAAATATCCAGGTATACAAGTACAAAAAACATGATACAACAGGATATGAGTTCTCGGTTTGTATTAAAAGCGTAATTACAAAACAGGTTTTGTTAAGAACACCGAATGAAGATTCGTTCGATGACAGTAAATACGTATACACACAAAAATTATTATATTAGGCCGGGCTTGTACGGTTTTTTTTTTTTTTCTTTTTAATGTCTATAGCTTACAACAGAAGCGTAATTAATAAAAAGGTACGGAAAAAAGCTCGACAACGTAAAAACAGGACCAACAGAGAGTCTTTAATGGGATCCAGAGAGAAAAAACGCCAAAAGCTTACATACGATCGTCACAAAATCCCGCTGAAAAACCTTTCGTTTTCGGGGTGCGTTCGTTGTGTCACTATGTGATCCTCTGCGTCTCTCGCGTGTCGTTCTGTTTCTATGCGTGTGAATGTCACTGTGTATCTCTCTATGCGTGTGAGCGTGAGTGTGTGTCTGTGTACTTGTTGCGAGCTTTTGAACAGGGAGACGCGAATCATAGAAGTTTCGCAGACTTTTCCAAGTGTCTCTAATTCCTCTTGCACTTTCTTGTTCGACTGTACTATAGGGTTAGCAAATCGTGACTCATGATTGTGATCGGAAAATGTGCGTGTTATTCGACTGTACATTGGATTAAACGAGTGTTCGGTGAAGGCTATTCGTGTGTCGTGTGAGTGTATCGGTGAATTTTGGAAAAATCGACTTGACCGCGAGAGATCGATCTCTTTCGAGACCTGATGCCGATGTTAGTGCTTTTGACACTGTCTCGAATCGTTCGACGAATATATTTCTAGACAAGCACGGATAATCCTGCAACCCCGAAGCTTAAAATTGATCTACCAGGTGCAGTTGCGGAACGATAGCAAGAACAATTCGTTATAATTTTTAATAAATCGGTATTCGGTAATCCAGGTCGAGAACTATGGGGGAAAATAGCAGGTTCAACATTTTCGATACTTTTGGCACAATCGATACGTCGGATGTCCAATAATTTTGTGGATAATTTCGGTATTCCGTAGACCATGGTAGTCATATGCACTTTTCTCGATATTTCATACGCGAATATCGGATATTTCGTACATGCCAGAAAATTCGAAACTAGTCTTCCGTAACTGCACCCTGCGCTATTGGGAATAGAGGAACAAAAAAATGGAGAAGCTGAAATGTAACGGATGTAAACGACATGAAACGTACAAATAATTCCCTGCGAATTAAGGGAAAAAAAAGAAAAATAAGGAAAAGAAAAAAAGAAGAAAAAAAGAAAGATTCGACGGAATGTAACGTGGTTCTTTTTAACAAGCTTTCTCTGATTCTTTTTTGTCGGCCAGCCATCTCTCTAATCTTGTTTCGTCTTTGATCAGGCTCGAACGGCTTCGACGGTACAGTATCATCTAATTCGTGCCACAATATTACACAATTCAGGTGGATTACAGTCGGCGAACGGAACAATGTCGAGTTATTTCGATTGATTGAGCATCGAAGTTGGATACAAAGAAAAAAAAGAGAAAGAAAAAGGAGGAAAAGTCGTCGATCAACTAACTACGAAAAATACTCTAACTATTGGCATTATTCTCAACAAGTATTGATACCCAACGAGTCTCTACGTCGCTACGTAAAAATGGCAAGTGAGATGGGAATGATATCGAGGAAACAAAAAAAAAAAACAAAAATTCATATATATATATGACATCGAAATGAAAAATTGCAACAAACGATCGTCTCACATCGTAACGGTGGATCAATATTTGTTAGGAATAATTCATCTAAAACTATCAACTACCTAATCAGGGTCATTATGTGTATTCATATATACATATATATGTGTACATATATGTACATATACAATACAATAATGAAAAAACACTGATTACGAAAATATTCTTCGTCCCTTTATCGCTTCATTCATACACGGTACTGTCGTCAGATGTATTTTACAGAGATGCTCGTATACTCGTAAAGACGTACAAAGCTGAGTAAAACAAAAGAGGAAAAAGGTGGTATGTTCAATTCTACTGGTTCCATACTTTGATGCAAATGTCGATTCTCCTACCAAGAGATCGTACGTGGACACATATCGTTGTTATTATTACGGTTATCGTGATTAGCACTGTTATTACGATTATTGTTACGATTATTATTATTATTTACAGTATCGCTTGTTTGCAAGAATACTTTACTGTGAACATGCAGACGCTCCCTCAGGGTTCATCACACGTTGTGAAATATTTTTCACGCCGCCAGAGGACGGGGGAGCAAGTCGATCGACATTTCTCGTTTTCGTTCTACGACTGTACCGAGTGCTTCCAAAAATCTGGGAACAGATTACGTTCCACGATGTGAGTGACTAAAATTTAAAAAGAAAAAAAAAGAAACTAAAAGAAAAGGAAAAAAAAGATGAAAGAAATCGAGCTTTCTCTTTCGATTTTCTTTATCCTTTTCCATAATGTCGATCGACTTGGCACGAACTTGCTTGACAAATCGTGGGGTTGCAGTTGGTCGAATTTTCTTCTTGTACGTTCTCGTATGAGTGTATGCGTGTTCGTGTGAATCTTGTGATCGTGTTACGAATCGTGTGTGGGTGTGTTCGACGTATGCGTGTACAGGGTATGCGCGTACGTGTGATTATCGTGGAGATTTCGAGGTGAAACATTAAGAAAAAAAAAGAAAAAGAAAAAATGGGGGATTCTGGGTAGTACGTAAAAAAATTCTGTGCAAGAAAAACATCAGACGTGTTACTTCTTTCTTTGTTTTTCTTTTTAAGCGATTAACTGTACATGATAGAAAGAGATAGAAAGAGATAGAGACAGAGTGTAAGAGACAGACAGACAGACAGACAGACAGACAGTAAAGAGAGAAAGGAAGGAAGAAAGTAAGAGAAACAGATAGAAAAAGTTCATGGCTGCGTTGGTGATTTTTTAATCATTAGTGTGTAAAAAACGTGTGTAAATCGAAACCTGCGTTTTATTAAAGGAAAATTATAGAAAAAAAAAAAAAAAGAAAAAACGTCAGCCTGTGAGTAATTTTTCTGTGTGTATGTATGTCAACTAACCTCGTTCTTGTCCAAGTCGAGCTACGAAAACGTTAAACTGAGGTTAAAATTCGTTCGTTTATGATTTCGTGATTGATTTAATTGTTCTTTTCTTTTTTTTCGTTTTTTCTTTTCTTTTTTTTTTTTTTTTTTTTTAATAAAAAAAGGGGGGAAGAAAAGGAAAAAAGGGA